TTTTTGGTACCGGGGATTGAACTTGGCACCTTGCACTTGGCAAGGCAGGCGCCAGAACCACTGAGCTAAATCCCCGGCCATGTCTAGCAATCTTAACAAGAGTGTGGGAGAGAATCTGTCTTTTACTTAGGTTTGTAGAAAGTGGGCCTGGTACCTTACACACTCCATTATGGATGTGCCATGTTTCAAAATATAAGTTGTAATTCAGCAGGTGTTTAGAGAAAGTTTTAGGCAGGTATGTGTGTGTAAGTCAAAGACATGCCCACACACACACACACACACACACACTCTAGAATTTAGTACAGGAAGAGATGAGTGCTCTGCACCTGGGTTGTATGCAGTGCAGTATGGCATGGTGTCTGGTTTACTACAGCAGAAAAGTGAGGAGATTGTGACACTTTGTGAGTCAGGGTGAATATGGGTGTCTGTATGACTAAGTGGTGAAAGATCCTCAACAACAGTAGTGTGCACACAGTCACATGTACTAAGTACACCAGGTCTAGTATGGAAATGGGAACATCACCCTGAAGACTTCACAGCTGCTGACCACTCCACTGCCCTTTCCCTTCCCTTTATTTCCTCTGGGAATTTTCAATCCTATGGATTCACAAACACCAGTGGACAAATTGATCGATTCTTCCTGCTGAAGATATGAAATTAACATGTTTAAATATGATAATATGCCAAGACAGTCTGCTTTCTAACAAGCATGTCACTTCTCAAGTTATTTTTCAATGCCCTAAACTACACTTTCCTCTCTCCAAAAAAGAAGTAACTCATAGGTACTATCAGCAGCCTTCACAGCTCCCATTCAATAACACTCAGGGAAAAGCAAATTGAGAGAGAACATGGAAATTCAGAAAAGCTGTGGTATCGGACTTGTGTAAGGTAATACCAGTCTCCTGGAGTCCAAGAAACAGCTGTCACCCCGATGAAAGAGCTCAATTTCTATTTCCCATGGGGCATCTGAAATTTTGTGCCATCCAAACCACTGTGACCCTTGGGATGCACCTGACAGGATGAGCTAATATCATCAAGTCACTTACTCTTTACTTCACACATAATCTTCTCATCAATTCCACCTTCCTAGAGAAGGCTCAGGACAGCCAGCATCCCTGAACCCCAAGACCAGCTGCCTAGCACACCCTTCTTCCTTTGTCATCAGTCTCCTCAGAATCCTCATTTCCAACATGCTTCCTCTTTTGCTGTCGTTTCATAGTGTCAGCTGGAAATAAGAGAACCTTAGAGGACGTGTAGTGTCCGGATCCCCCTGTTCCCTCGAGGACAGCCTTCTTGGCACTCAGGACATCCAGGGAGATGATTTCATACAAATAAAAACAGTACAGTCTCCTAAATGGCAGAAGCGCTCAGCCCACTTGCAGAACCAGCAGCCATGCCCATTGCCCACCACAATGAAGGCTGTTCAAGTTCAAAGGTCAGCTTTTCTGACCTCAGTGATGACATCGGAGCCCTCTGTGGAACTCAAGGCACCAAGATTCTACAACTGCAAATGCCCCATTTTCAAGGACAATTCCTCTTTCTCTGTGGAATCACTTTAATGTATTAAACTCTCTGCTCTTTCAGGGTGCCAAGGAATTTTTTGATGTTAAAATGCTTCAGACTAGTTTGGGTTTTTTTTTTTCTTTTTTCCTTTGTTTCACCATTCCCTTTCTGTTCTTAAGCAGAAAACAGGCTCTATGTTCATTGTCCAGAATAGGAATAGGGCAGAGCTGGAAGCAGCAACAGTTTGCTGACAATCTTGGCCTTGACTTCTAAAATCCCAAAATTTATTTAAAACAGATATTCATGCAAAAATATAACACAGCAGCGTCTTTGAGCTTACTCATTCACTCCCTTCAGACCTTGCTATGTGTTTCAGGACATATTAAAATTAGGTCAGGGAGAGAGATTCATCAACTGTGGAGAAGAGTGACCCTGAAGTGTGGCTGTGCAATGGGATCTGACTAAAATTTCAAGAGGAGACTGCTGCATTATGCATATAAGCAGCATCATGGCAACCTGTTCTCACATGGCAAAGGAGTCATTCACCCGGAAGGAGCCATGGCAACCAAGCTAAACCAATCTAAACAAATGCTATGTACTCCAGTAAGCAGTGACCATATCCTCAAGCCACCCTAAAAACATAGCCCTCATGGTCCATCCTGCCACTCCTGGACACGAGGAAGGGGCTTTTCTGGCTGCCGTCCATCCCCCAGCTCCTGGCATAGAGGTAGGGGTTTTCGGGCAGCCATCCATCCTGCCCTTCCAAGCCCAGAGGAAGGGGCTTCCTGGCCACCCTCCGTCCTGCCACTCCTGGCACAGAGGTAGGGGCTTTCAGGCAGCCATCCATCACAGTGCTCCTGGGCCAGAGGAAGGGGCTTCTGGGCTTTCTTCTGTCCCACCACTCCCAGCTCAGAGGAGGTGAGCCACGCGTGTGCCAACAGCACCCCTACCCCCCCCCACCGGAGGGTCAAAATGAGAAGACACGTATACAAGTCTCAAAACCAGACTTCCAGATCACCTACAGCAACCCCAAAGGGAAATGAGATGGAACACTGATACTCAATCACCTGTACTCCCTGAACTGGCAACAAAAGAGGATATGGAAAAAATAAAATCAGAAATAATTTCTCAGATAACAGGAGAAATTGTGCTTCTACTGCAAGACATGATTAATAAATCTAGAGAGGAGCTGAGGAACATGATGGAATCCCAACATAGGAAACAAATGGAATCCATAAAACAGATGC